AAGTAAGCGGTTGAGCCGCTAGGTTTCAATCGGTTTTAGGGGTTTATGTTTCGATGATGAGAACGATTTGAATTCGCGATTGTAGACATGCGGTTGAAAACGTTTGAAAAAACGCATTAGGGTTTTCGTTTCTCTTTGAGGAAAACGATTTGAATTTTTGCGGTTTTCAAACGCAAAAACGTTTTTAGGGTTTCATATGGCAAAATCGTGAATGGTATTGAAAGGGTTTTCAATAACAAAAGCGATGAAAATGATTCTGTTTATGGGATTCTCATGCATGACATCAAAAAAAAAAAATGGTTTGAATATGAACCGAATTGATGAGATGATGGATCTACCTTGTTTTCACCGTTTAGGATCTGACTGGATATGAACCGGGAGCTAAAGACCTCGGTATTCACAAGCAGATCGGAGAAGAGAGATGGCCGGAGGAGATCGGCGGCTTAGATCACCAACGGCGGCTGCGGTTGATGCTAGGTCTAGGGTTTTCGAAAAAAAAATGTTTGGCGTGAACAGTACCGACGAACAGTACCGATGTACAGTGTCGATGAACAGTATCGATGAACAGTGTCGGCGTGAACAGCGTCGATGAACCGTGTCGGCGTGAACAGTGTTTTGCGATTTTTAGGGTTAGGGTTGTTAAGAGCAAACTCGTGCTGATAACGTGTTGTAGAACTGATTATTTTATTGATCCTCAAGGGAATATATAGAAGTATATCGGGATACAATACATAATGAATAACCCTGATGGGCTTATTGGACCCGGTTATAAGTCCAATATGATGTATTATAACACTCAGTAGTTAGTAACATTGCATCTTTAATTTTCTATGTGTTTTCTCTAGCTTGTCCTTGGTTCTATGTTGCTTTGCTTTTGTCATCAATATTTGCTGATTGTCGGAGATATGGAATAAAATAATTAGAGTCGCTTCAGAGTGGATTAGTAGACACCTCAAAAGTCCATAATTTCCAAATGACATTAATAGTTTCATCAAGAATTCAAAGTCAATTGCTCATTATTCCAAGAAATCTAAGGGGCAGCTAGGACAAAGAAAATATGCTAACGTGAAGAAGGCCAAAACTTGTCACTTTGACATTATAATAGAAATTCAATTTTCCATCGCCTGAAAAGAGATAATGTACAAAAATAAATATATATAAAAAATTTGAAACCGTTCTGATACAAAGATTGTGTGTGCATGAACATTTGAACACCTGATCTGATATGTTTATGTTTTCTGATCATATTTTGGGATGTACACAGATCCAGGAGAGGAGCTTGAAGTGCTGCTTCCTAATTCAACACAAACAGACTTTCGATACAAAACTTCGGTAATAGTAGGACTGTTGCTTTGCGACTCTGTTTTTTGTTGGGATAAGCTTGAAGAAGAAGAAGGAAACTTAAGGAAAAAGGAAATTCTAATCCAATTAGGAATAGTTCTATTTAAGAGATATCTAAATAAGTTAGTTTACCTATTTGGATTAGGAAATTGTGTTAGAATTCTCTCTATATATAGAGCTACCAAGGTATGGTAAGCCTTATGAGTTTTGAGAGAGAGTTTGAGAGATTGTGTTTAAGAGATTGAGAGAGAGACCAAAGTTTTGAGTTATTTTCTTTGGTGATTAATAAAGAGAGTTATTCTTTATTTTTGAGTTCTTAAACAATCTTTCTAAACTTTATTTGGTATCAGAGCGGTGAGATCCATTCAGACGTGAGAGAGGAGAAACTACTTAGCAAAGATGGGTGATATCGTTGTAGCCAAACCAAAAGAAGGAGTAGCTTCATCCGTTAAATGTCCGATGTTGAGTAACTCAAACTACACCGTATGGAGCATGAGGATGGAGGCTACTCTACGTGTGCACAAAGCTTGGGAAACGATTGATCCGGGCTCTGACAATCAAGAGAAAAACGATCTAACCCGAGCTCTTCTGTTTCAATCAATTCCCGAATCTCTAATCTTACAGGTTGGAAAACAAGCAACTGCTAAAGGAGTCTGGGATGCGATTAAAGCTAGAAATCTCGGTGCTGATAGGGTACGAGAGGCAAGACTGCAGACTCTCATGGCCGAGTTCGATAGGTTGAAGATGAAGGAAGGCGACACCATCGACGAGTTTGTTGGAAAACTTTCAGAAATTTCCACAAAATCTGCATCGTTGGGTGAAACCATTGAGGAGACAAAGATCGTTAAGAAATTTCTCAAGAGCTTACCACGAAAAAAATACATTAGCATAATTGCAGCTATTGAACAATTTCTCGATCTTAAAACAACATCGTTTGAAGATATTGTAGGAAGATTGAAGACCTATGAAGAAAGAATTTGTGATGAAGAAGAGGCAGAAGAAGACCAAAGCAAACTCATGTACGCTAATTCTTACTCACAGCCATCACAAGAAGGAGGAAGAGGCAGAGGTCAAGGTCGTGGTCGCGGAAGAGGTCGAGGAAGATTCGGATATCCATCTTTGGATAAATCCAAGATTACATGTTTCAGGTGTGATAAACAAGGGCATTACGCATCCGAATGTCCAGATCGTCTACTAAAACTAATCAAGGCTCAAGAATCTGAAGAGAATGAAGGAGATAACACGCAAGAAGCTGAATCACTCATGATGCATGAGGTGGTGTATCTCAACGAGAAGAATGTAAAGCCTAAAGACTTCGAAAAAGATTCAGAGAACGCTTGGTACTTGGATAATGGTGCGAGTAATCATATGACAGGGAATCGTGCTTGGTTTTCCAAGATTGATGAGACTATCACAGGAAAGGTGAGGTTTGGTGATGATTCACGAATTGATATCAAAGGCACAGGTCCAATCTTGTTTGTAACAAAAGAAGGAGAAAGAAAAATCTTGGCCAATGTCTATTACATACCTGAGCTTAAAAGTAATATCTTAAGTCTGGGGCAAGCAACCGAAGCAGGATGTGATGTAAGAATGAAGAAAGGCTACTTAACTCTACATGATCGTGATGGAAATCTGTTGGTGAAAGCAAATCGATCAAAGAACAGGTTGTACAAAGTGAACATGGAAGTTGAAATCGAGAAACGTGACGAATCTAACCGAGAACGAGATGAAGCATTGGAGGAGAAGGAGAATCTATCAAAGGATCTTGAAAGTGTAAATAAAGAAAGCGAGAGTGAAGAGCTTCCTGAACAGAGCATGGGAGAAAATTCAAACAGAGAAGAAACAGAGCAGATCGCAGAAGAGGCGGATGAAAGTGAAAGTGAAGAACTTCCTGTAATTGAGGAGGAAGACGATGAACATGAGAAATTTAAGCCTCTGTTACAACGACAGATGGACCAACGAAATTATATTGAACTTCCTCAGTTGGAATCTGCTATCAGTAATTTGCGATTAGAGGTTGCGGAGAAGACTTCAATTGTGAATGCTTTAGAAAGGGGTGTGAGTGAGAAAGAGAAGATGATTTCTGAACTTGAAAAAGGTAATTTAGAGAAGGTGAGTGTACTGGAAGGTGATGTTGGTGGAGCTGTTGAACAAGACTTCACAACTCAGTTGTATGTGCTAAAAGAAGAACTTGAAGAGTGGCAAAACAAAGCAAAAGAATTGGAGAAACGATTGGAAGAAGCTAACAAGCTGGAGAGATCTGCCTCGGCATCTCTGTTATTTGTGACAAAGCAGCTGGAAGGAAGCAATGGTAGATTGCTCGATATGGAATCTGAGATTACTGATCTTAAGGATAAAATCTCGTTATTGGAGATGACTGTTTCTAAAGAAAAGAAGGATCGTGAGGAATCTGAACAGCAGCTAGGTATTGCAGAAGAAGAATTCTCTAAAATTAAGAAAGAGATAGAGAAACTGAAGAATGAACTTGAAAATGTGAATGAAGAAAAGAATCAGTCTTTAAGAGAGGAGCAAGATGCTACTTCAAAGACACTTGGAAGGATTAAGATTAAAGAAATGAGAGATCTTATTGGAGTTGAAGATGTGAGTGGAGGTGACTTCAAGCTTAAGGGGGAGAATGTTGGGATAAGCTTGAAGAAGAAGAAGGAAACTTAAGGAAAAAGGAAATTCTAATCCAATTAGGAATAGTTCTATTTAGGAGATATCTAAATAAGTTAGTTTACCTATTTGGATTAGGAAATTGTGTTAGAATTCTCTCTATATATAGAGCTACCAAGGTATGGTAAGCCTTATGAGTTTTGAGAGAGAGTTTGAGAGATTGTGTTTAAGAGATTGAGAGAGAGACCAAAGTTTTGAGTTATTTTCTTTGGTGATTAATAAAGAGAGTTATTCTTTATTTTTGAGTTCTTAAACAATCTTTCTAAACTTTATTTTTAAAAGCAAAAATTAGTATTTTGAGAGCTTAATAAAGGTTTGTAACTCAAGATTCAATTGACTTATTTGCAGAGAATTCCTTTGACAGGCTTAAAACAAAAAGCCCCTTAACTTTAAATCTATTATGGAACTTGCTGTGTACCCAAGTTTAAAGTGCTCATTTATCAGCTTTTTGTCAAGGCTTACAAGGCCTAATTGTGCCGTCAGGCGTCAGCTAGCTTTGATTGCAATAAGCAGAGTCAAGAAGCCATGCGTAGTGTCCTCTCCCATGATTAATTACACAAAAATAGATTTGACCATATCATCTTCAAAGAGAGATGGAGAGACAGCCTCGTGGACTTGTTAAAACTCAATTGTGTCACGTTGCATGATAAGTTCTTCGTCCACTCGGAAAACAGTATTGATGCCATGGACTTGGATTTACGAGAAAAGAGAGTCATGCACAAGTTCAAACGATAGAGACTACATAAACATTAATTAAAGACATAAAACATTAGTTTCAAAGCTGGTGATGATTACTCCGCCAAAGCGCGGCCCACTTATTTTGAACGATTTACGTAATTTCATTTTTAGGATATTAAGAATAAGCGCGTTTACCAAGAAATAATAAAGATGGGAAATCCAAAAGTCATGAAAAAGAGGGAAAAAAAAGAAAATAGAGAGACGCTTTGTTCTATTATATAAAGGAACCCTAAAGAAGTGGTTAAGCAAAGCAAAATCTCATTAGGTTTCAACCACTAAAGTCACTTCAGAAAACCCTAAATCGATTCATGTCTCAGAAACGTTTCAATACGCCGATGGCTTCTTCAAGCGACGAAGATGAAGTGGAGACTCCAATCAGAGAAGGTGAAGACTCTTCGTCGGATGAAGAAGATGATGTTGTGTCCTCTAAAAATCCATCATCAACCGTGATGAAGAAGCCAGTCGTTGCCACGGAGAAACAAGTTTCTGATTCAGAATCTGGATCTGAATCTGATGAAGAAACTGATTCCGACTCCGAAGAACCCGTGAAGAAAGATGAGGTTGTGACGAATCCTGTGAAGCCTGTGACCGAAGCCAAAGATTCTGTCTTGAAGAAGAATCAAGAATCCAAGAAGGTGAAAGATTCTGAGAAATCTGTGGCAAAACGTTCTCGTGAAACCGATGAAGCAGCGGGTTCTACTGATGTGAAGATGGTCAAGAAGGATTCAGGGGAAGCAAAGAATAAGAGTGGTGGAGGAGAAGAAACGAAGAAAGCTTATTTCCAACGTGTTTGGACTGAAGATGATGAGATTGCGGTTTTACAAGGTCTTATTGATTTCGAAAACGATACTGGGGTAAGTCCTTATGATGATACTAATAGGGTTTATGAGTTGTTGAAGATATCTATTAGCTTTGATGTCTCCAAGATTCAGTTCATGGAAAAAATTAGGAATTTAAAGAAGAAGTATGAGAACAATCTTGTCAAAGCCAAGAGTGGTGATGAACCTACGTTTGCAAAAACTCATGATCGCAAGGCTTTTGAATTGTCTAAGTTTGTTTGGGGAGCTATGGAATCAGCTGTGAAATCTAGTGGGAAGACGAGGAAGAGTAGTAAGTCGAAGAAAGTTGAGTCTGTGAACCATGAGCTTGATTCTTCTTTGCCCAATGGTAAGAACGATGGTGCCGCGGAACTGGATATGTTTCCCAAGTCTTCTCTTGTTAGATCGCTTGTGCGTTTTGGTTTTGATGAATTTTCTGCTCAACAAGGATTGAGTAGCCTTGCCTTAGAGGATAAGAAGAGATTCGAGGAGAAGTGGAAAGCATTGCAGGTTAAGGAGTTCGAGTTCTATTCGCACAAGAGCGGTTTTCTTCATGAAGTGGTAGCAAAGATTGCTGAAGCATTTCCATCAAACGCTTAGATATATATGGAATTCTCTTTGTTTTTTGGTTCTGCCTTTTTTGCCATGAACTCCGGCTTTTTTTCTCATTTTAGTTTCTGTTGACTCTTGAAAAAGAGTTCATTTTGGAATATTGCGGATTTATCAATATTATTTTAGTTTCTATTGAGGCTTATTAATCTTAGTGGTAACTAAGAAGGGATCAGGACAATCAAATTATCGTGTAGATGCCTTTTTATTCATATATGTCTATCTTTCTTGTCCACTGATCTCTGATTTTAGTTATCCCCGATGGACTAGTAGTGAAGACGTTGCATTTAAATTTATCTATCGATATCACTTACATATTTTTCGATTTCAGTTTTTAGTGCTTACTTGTGGCCATTGATACTTTTTTCTGGTCTTAGATATGGTGTAATGGTTTACTTACTTGCAATGGCTGTTACATTATTCATATCAGTTTCTTGTTCATTGGATTGTTGTCTTTGATTAGGTCTCGTAATAAGAACATTAAAATGTATATTTATTTGAGTCAAGCCATTACAAGTTGTTGTTGACAATAACAATTAAGTCCCTGTTAAGTTTTTTGTTTTTTTGTTTTTTGCAAGTTATAGAACTTTGAAAGTGGAAAATTCAAACCACTCTTCCTTGCAGCCTCGTGGACTTGTTGAAACTCAATCATGTCACGTTCGTCCTTGTCAGATATTCTCCCCACTTGTTGCAAGATGAGTTCTTCGTCCCTTCTAGAAACATTATTGATGCCATGGACTTGGATTACGAGAAAGAAACTTAAGAGAGTAATACACAAGTTCAAGACACAGAGAAAGATATATCATGTAACATCCCAAGTAACAAGACGAAACTAAACTACAACTGAATTAAGAACAAACGCTTCCATGATGATGATCACGAAAACCGTGAAACTACCGTCTTCTAGCTATTGAACAACGAGCGAGCAGTCTTTAGAGAAACATGAGGTTCTCAACCTGACCAGGGAAGATAGAGATTACACTACGGTTCAAATGGCTATCCCACCGTAAAAGCTTTAGTTCCGTGATTCCTTCTATGAAGACTCTGCTCACAGCATTTTTCTTGGGATCATAATAGAGAACATAAAATGGTGGTTCATGAAACATTGTTTCTGGTGCCAAAACAAACTCACCTGCATCCGTGAGACAAAAGACTTGAAAAGATGATTCAGTGTTCCAACACGGCACAACAAAAACCTTATTCGACCATTCATGTTTCGCAGCGTCCACTAGAACCCATATATCAATTCTACATGTAGAATGTCCAGTAGATTCAGAGCACATGATAGCAAGCTTTCCTTCGTAGCTTGTCAGCTTTGTAAACAGAGCAGTTTCTGGTGTTTTTATAAGATGAAACTTTTCAGACCTAACATCAAAACACATGACTGCTTTATCTTTGTCGAGAAAAGCCGGATATGTGTCAAGAGAAGCTTCACACCATCAATGCATAGATCAAGAGACGCAGGAGCGTGAGGAGGGAAATCTTCAATCATCCTCCAAGAGCTCCCATTTCCCAATGTCAAAACCCGAAGGTCCTCAGCTAAACCACGTCGCCAACCAATATTCATTCCTTTAGTCATACACAAAACTTTGTAATCACCATGAATGGGATCATAACCTAAGTAGTGGTACATATCTCTCCTCTGAGAATAAATCTTGGGCAGAGTAATAGATCGTCTAGTGCTAGGGTTATATACCATGAGTTTATAAGGAGGTCCATGGCAAATCAAACCATGAACAGAGGCAGAAAAAGTTGTGTACGGCTTAGGAAAGCATTTCATATGGTAACTTGCTACAGAAGTTGATGCTGATTCACCTTGATTTTGGGGTTGAATCGATGAGAAGAAGAAATGACTCCCGTCAGGAATTTTATGGAATGTGAAGATGAGACTTTGATGACGGTTCGAAGACTTGGACAAGTACGATTTCATGAAGTCTCGGTTGCGAATGATGGATGCAAATTGTTTCGACACGCAAATGAACCTCGCTAGGGTTTTAACTGGCGATGCTTTGAGTATCTCCGGTATAAGATCAAATGTTCAATTTGTAGAATGTGTGTTATATTTGTTTACAAAACTTGTTTTTGTTCTCTTGTAAGATATTTCTCTTAAAAAATATTCTCAGTAGTTAGTAACATTGCATCTTTAATTTTCGATGTGTTTTCTCTAGCTTGTCCTTGGTTCTATGTTGCTTCGCTTTTGTCATCAATATTTGCTGATTGTCAGAGATATGGAATAAAATAATTAGGGTCGCTTCAGAGTGGATTAGTAGACACCTCAAAAGTCCATAATTTCCAAATGACATTAATAGTTTCATCAAGAATTCAAAGTCAATTGCTCATTATTCCAAGAAATCTAAGGGGCAGCTAGGACAAAGAAAATAGGCTAACGTGAAGAAGGCGAAAACTTGTCACTTTGACATTATAATAGAAATTCAATTTTCCATCGCCTGAAAAGAGGAAATGTACAAAAATAAATATATATAATTAATTTGAAACCGTTCACCTAATTAGGTAGCTAATTGAAATTCAACAATATTTTAAGCTGTCTTTGTGGACTCCATTCTTGATTGACTTATAATAGTTTTGAGTTTTAAGAAAAACACACAACTATTTACAAATGCACTGTTTTAGAGACGTGTTATACTACAAGAAAATCTGTGTGATATAACCATAATTTGCGACAATATTTTGAGTCAAAATATTTACTATTATTTTAAGACCGTTAGCGACTATCCACGACCACGGTGAATACATAAAATCGGAAAATAGTCTCATATTAACAACCGTTTTGATGCATATTCATGACTAAAACAATTTATGATGCCTTAAATACTCCATATACCGTCAGTGACAACTTATATAATTTATATAATTCAAAATTTCACAGAATTTAATTTATTTATGTATAGAACTTGATGACGTGAAAACATTAAGAATATATTGAAGCAAAAGAAGATTTAGAATGCATTGAAGCGGATTTAAATCTTGGCTCTAAAATATAATGTAGTATGAAGTCTTTTGTTTTATTTAGTATAAGTTTAAACAATTAATTTTGTTTTAAGCTTTTGATTTTATATTAAGTTCTGTTTAATGAATACTAGTGGTATCATAGGATCATTTTATAAGCGGAAAAGCCCGGAAAACTCTTATAGCCCTTTAGTTACTCGCTTAATTACCTAAATTATATGGCTATATTCTTTCTTTTTAGTCCAAATATGGCTACACGGCTAATTCACCCAAAAAATTGTTTTCTCTTTGAAATATTAAATGTTTAAATCTAAAACTATAAAATTTATTACATCCAAAACATTAGTTTTATTTAGATCACATTGTTTTCCCTCATAGGTTAAAATTTTTTTTTTTAACAATTAAAACAAAACATTCTATAAATTAATAAATATTAATTTACAGTATAAATTAATATTTATTAATTTATAGATTAATTAATATTACTATAAATTAATAAAATATCATAGACCCAACATTATTAATTTATAAAGGTTTTACTTATATATATATATATATATATATATATATATATAATAGAAATTAACCCGCGGTACACCGCGGGCCTATAATTTTACTAAATAATAAAATTATTTTTTAGGATGATCTATAAATATATATTATTGTTTTGATTGATTTAAATTTATGGTATACTGCAAGACGATATTTTATAACTAAAAATTTAAAATTTGAAGTTTTATTTGTTTTGTTAATATTTTTTTTTAGTTTTGTTTAGTTTTTAAGATTGTATAGTTATATTTTGATTGTTAATTCTAGGATTTCACCCGTAGTATATCATACTGTATTAATATCGACCCAAACCCGTCCGACCATATAACATGTCCCATTAAATCTACATCATTTAGTCTTTTTCTTATAAAATTCAAATATTTCCAATATTTGATACTTTCTAAAAGTTTTAATATCGACCCAAAATTCATAATACTATTTTGATTGTTATATCTAGGATTTCATCCATAATATACAGTCCCGTATTAATATCTTTTGTAAATATTTATAATGTTTAAATTTCTTGTAAATTATTAGAAAATTCAAATATTTATAATATTTGAAACTTTATAAAATTCTTAATATTATGAATATTTAAAACTTTTTTAAGAGTTTCAATAATTATAATATTTAACTTTTAATACAGTTTAAATATTTATAATATTTTGCTATTTAAAAGTTTCAATTCGTATAATAAATATTTAACTTGTAATGTGTTAAGATACCTTAGGCTTAGCGGAGATAACGGTGTTAAGATCGTAACGAATGTACGATGCTCTTAAACGGAGATTGTTCTGAACGTAAGGCCAAACTTTTTTGTGGATCAGTGACTTTACGCTAATGATCTCTTTAGCATATTCTTTGGCTCTAGCTGCAGCTTCTGTTGGTGACAACAATGGTTGTATGTAAAATCTGTCTTTTAATGCCAATGAAAAATCTCTTGCTTGGTCTGAGTTATCTGTTCCAGCTGCTAACACACACAAAAAATCAAAGCCATAATCAATCAAACATAACCGATCTCTATAATCTAATTAGTAATTACTAAAAATTATATCTTACAAAAGTGATTAAAGATACGTTTGATAAAAAAAACCAAAATTGAAATCATAACAAAATAGCCATATATATTTTACATTTAAATCTATAGTTTCAATTTGTTTTTTTAAAAGATCAATATTTTAAATTTTAACAAATAAGGGTGTTCGAGTCGAACAAACCAAATCGGTTCAAACCAAACCGCGATTGAACCGGACTTTTATTTGGTTTGCATATCTAAACGAAACCGAAAAAAAATAAAAACACAAAACATAAGCTGTAAATTACTTTCAAAACCCCAAAAAAAAAAAATCGGTTTCCTGACCAAAACATGCAATAATTTCGGTTTGTTTTCTCCTTAACCAAAAAAATACCGTTCGGATTATATTATTAATAGTCAATAATGTTAAATTTGATTAAATTGGTATTACCTACGTAGGCCACCGGAAGGAAGTGGAGGAGGACCAACTTTGATCGGAATAGCTTCGGCGAAAACAGCTTTAACGAATGAACCACCGGCTAAACCAGCCGCCACGAGCCTGATCAGTGATCTGCGACTACTTTATGGTACTAACATATATAAAGTAAACGTGTGATCTCAAAGAAGTGTTTATTTTGTTTGGTGAGATTAGAGAATGCGACTTAGATGTATTTATAGTGTTCCCAGAAAATTATATGGTTTTCTTTGAGTGAGTAGAAAACCTCTTGCTAAGCAAGTATAAAATATCTTCATAATATAATATATTTGAAAATAATTTAAGAAAAAATTATAAATTAGCTATGGAATATGCTAATAATATGCTAAAGATTACCATTTTTATAGGAAAGAAATAGATCACATTTATGTTTATTGTTAGCATTCAAATTTTATTTAATTTTTGGCAATAAATCTTTAATGCCATAACTAAAAAATGTTAGAACAAATTAATTTCTTTTATTAGCATTTAATTAAAAACGTGTATCAAATTAATTTATTATTAGCATTAAATATTGATTTGTTAGAAAAATATATCAATTTATTGAGTTTTTTTTAGTTATGGCATTAAAAATTTATTAATTTAAAGGAACAATAGATGAGATAAGGTATGTGATATCAATTAGTTTAGATTGTGAATATATTCGAAATCAATTAGAGATTAAACTTATTAGGTTACGATTAATATGGCAATTAGTTTAGGTAATAATAACAAACTGAATTCTGCAAGTTATTATTGGCCAAATATGGGATTGATTTTATTACAAACTTCCTAAAATTCCTTATCCAAGATCCGGATAGAGTTAAACCCGGGTAAAACCCGGATCCAAATGAATTAATGCAAAAAAAACCTGTAAAAATGTATATGTAGATGTTTATATATTAACTAGTGTTTGGATTTATGTAGACAGCATGCGTCCTATTAAATAAGACAACCAAGAGATTAGTTATCCTTTTCATCATCGGGAATTCGGGATATATTAGTGTTAATATACAATATAAAAATATTATTGTTGATATATACAGTCTATACATTATTAATTTGAATGAAATTATACAGTATACGTTATTAAATATAATATTAGATTAGAATTAGCTGTTGGTAAAAATGAAAACAATAGAACTAGTTCACAAAAAAATATGGACCCATTCGGCCATTCCCCCTATAAAAGGATCCTTGAAGATATGGAGCTTCCTCATCTTCTCAAACTAAATCAATCAAATAGGTTTCTTCTTACTAAAAATGAATTTCTCTTATTCTTCCTTGTCAACTTGGACAACCCTATTAACACTGGGTTGTCTTCTGCTTCATTCATCCAATTCCAGTGCTCAGCTAACCCCAACCTTCTATGACAATACATGCCCCAACGTCTTTACCATCGTACGGGACACCATCGTAAACGAGCTAAGATCAGATCCTCGTATCGCTGCAAGCATCCTTCGTCTTCACTTCCACGACTGCTTCGTCAATGTAATATAATTATTTTTCACCTTTTATTTTTTGGGTAAACAATTTGAAGTAAATTAACTTTCTTTGAGATATATATGCATGTATACGTTAGTATATTTTATAATTACGTCCTTTAACAAAAAAAATAAAAACTTTTATAATCACATCAAAGACTTCCTTTTCCAATTTTCTGATCAAATATGTATATAACGGAATATATATTGTTCATGTATTTTTCTAACTATTTGTTTTGTCAACTTACTCTAATTAACAGTTTGGATAGGCTTGTATTTATGATAATTGATTTCTGATAAATATGGGATAAAGGTGCTACTCAAGAAACACCAGTTACGTCTTTGTCAGTTTTAAATAACACATGGTTTGTTGATAACTACAAAACGAAAAGACGTGGTTTAGGGCCTTCGTATTTCTAAATTATTCAAAGGTTTAGATGATTTTATTAATTAGACTAATATTTTTATATGTAGTATTAGTTACCATGATATGTTACCCACACTTATAGGTCACTGGGCTAATTAACGAATCTGGTTTTGAGATATATATCACATATACAATTTCCGGTAGTTAGATGTGATATTTTTTGGTTTTTACTGTCGAGTATCTTAGCTCTTGTCGTCAAGATGACTACCATGATCACTTATTAAGAAAATGATTAGTAAGATTTGATCTCCCATTCAACGAACGTAAATTATTCGTATAATAATTTAAGAAAAGCATGGACCCGTACCATACCAAACACGTTACGAATTTATATCAATCATTTATTAATGAAGGCTAGAAAATAACATATTTTCATATTATATAAATCGTTCAAAAGTGTGTATATTATTTCTGGGAAAGTTTCAACTCTCAAATCAGATGTAGTTGTTAACCTAATACATAATGTTGAATTTATGTGTTAGAAGATTTATATAATGTAAACTAAAATGAATAATATACTATATCATCCCGCGTTACCTAAGAAGAACAAACCTTTTTAGTGAATGAAAATGCAAACTAACATTCTTTGTAGGTATAGTAAATAGATCATTATGGAAATATATATATATATATATATATATATATCATTATGTTTTCAATAATATGTTGACGAATTAGTGAACAAATAATTTTTGTCTGTAAAGGGCTGTGATGCATCGATTCTGTTAGACAACACAACATCCTTCCAAACTGAGAAAGACGCTGCTCCAAACGCAAACTCGGCTCGAGGATTTCCAGTGATTGATAGAATGAAAGCAGCAGTAGAGACAGCATGTCCAAGGACTGTTTCATGCGCAGATATACTTACCATCGCAGCTCAACAATCTGTAAATTTGGTATGCACCATTAATTTATCTCTCTTTTTCATTTATTACAAACATTTTTTTTTTTTTTGTCAAAGATTTATTACAAACATTGTCTCAAATTCTTCTGTGAAGTCGTCACGGAACATATTAAAACATGAAAACATAGTATTGCAAATAAATAGGTGGACTGCTGCAGCTTGGAAGTTGTACCTTTTAGATCTAATTAATAGTATTGAAAAAGGTTATCTACTATACCTGACATGTCTTTAAGATTCATTGTGAAAAATATTTAAAACGCATGGTAATAATATCAAGTCTCATTACAATTATAAATTTCATTACAATAAAAATATCAAGTCTCCTATTTTGGTAACTATATTAAGAACATAATCATATTTCTCTAAAAATTTTAAAACCCATGCATAACTTTGAGAACCTAATTGTTGAATTTATATTATACATTTGTCTTTTTGGTTTTGTTCATAGTAACTAACACTTCGACATGGTAAGATATACTTTCGTAAACAAATTATTATTTTTAAATATAAATGTTTTAGGCAGGAGGTCCTTCTTGGAGGGTTCCTTTGGGGAGAAGAGATAGCTTACAAGCATTCTTTGCTCTCGCTAATGCAAATCTTCCCGCTCCATTTTTCACGCTCCCACAACTTAAGGCTAGCTTTCAAAATGTTGGACTTAACCGTCCCTCTGATCTCGTTGCACTCTCTGGTAATTATTATGAGATATAATAACAAGAATCTTCATGCTCTAATAAGTTTTAAAACTTTATTGTTAACTTATCTCTTATTTTGGTTAGGTGGTCACACATTTGGTAAAAACCAATGCCAATTTATTATGGATAGGCTATACAACTTTAGCAACACTGGTTTACCCGACCCTACTCTTAATACTACATACCTCCAGACACTTCGTGGACAATGTCCCCGGAATGGTAACCAGACCGTCTTGGTCGATTTCGATTTTCGTACACCGACGGTTTTTGACAATAAATACTATGTGAATCTGAAAGAGCTAAAGGGACTTATCCAAACCGATCAAGAGTTGTTTTCCAGCCCTAATGCCACTGACACAGTCCCCTTGGTGAGAGAATATGCTGATGGCACTCAAAAATTCTTCAATGCTTTTGTTGAAGCCATGAATAGGATGGGAAACATTACACCTCTCACTGGAACTCAAGGACAAATCAGACAGAATTGTAGGGTGGTCAACTCCAACTCGCTGCTACATGATGTGGTTGAAATTGTTGACTTTGTCAGCTCTATATAACATAATATTGTCACGATATATGTGGCAACCAAAAATATATGTTTTATGAAATAAAGTGTTCTCGAAACGTTAATGAAGAACATTTCTTTTAAAATCTTTTTTCCATTCTACTTTCTTATTACTTTTTCAAAATAATATATCTAGTCATAATAGATGTACAGAGAAAAAAATAAACATAGTTAACTGAAGAAAAAACTTAATTAAAATTTTCATTTTTAATTAGTTAATCTAAACATTAACAGTTTATCATGTAAATATTTTTCGATCTTTTGACATGAAGATGTTAAACTTATAAAGTTTAAAACTTTGTGAATTATGAAAAAAAAAATATTAATTCAAGTATTTCTTAGAAACACAAAAATTTATAGTTATTTTTATTGATATAACTAAAACGGTTAGGTGTTTTATTCATATACTAGGTGAAATTATTATTCTTAGGTAATTTTATTTTTTATTTTTTGTTTACAATCTTAATTAAAATTATAGAAATATTTTTGTTTTGAGATTTTAAATACATACTTTTAATCTATGCTATTAATTGGGAAGCACTCAAACATAAATAACCTTATAAAGTGTAAAGTATTACAAAAATGCCATTGGTTTTAGTTTTTAAATAAATTCATTAAAGATACAATAGTGATCACAAAATGATATATTTAAATAAAAAATAATAAAATTCTTTAAAGTAATTATTAGTTTCCAAAAAATCAAACTCACTTTCTCTCTTATTAATTATGGACGAAAATTTAAATTTTTTTTCTAAAAAGTTGTTAACCAATGAGAATTGAAAAACTAAGATTTGATATTCAACTAAAATTTTATCTAAACCAATTCTAATAAACTATTCTATATCAAAAATAAAAAGAAAAATAATACCATTTTAATTCAAAATTAAAAACAATATAGTTTAAAAAATTTTATCAATGGAGAATTTTAAGATTGAATTTGAAATTTCTTAAAAACATTACATACAAATATTTAAGACACAGTTTTGTTATAATATTTTCACAAATTTTGAAATATAAAACAAAATTTTATTTCACAATTTCTAAAAAAACGATATTGAGCATTCATTTAGAGCAAGTTTCGAAAATATCTAAACAATAGATTGTACTTATTAATTTCAAAATATTTTGTGTTTTCTTTTTTTTCTTCTCAACCGGATCTTCTTTCCAATCCATAATATATTGCACACAGTTTTCAAAATAATATGAACTAATTATATATTTTGCATTCAAAACAAATTATGCAGCAATAACATATCTCTTTTATAGATATATCTCAAATTTTAGTTTTAGTCTGACAAATCGAATTAATTATGATTAAACAATGAAAAGAAAAATATGCAAAATTTAGCTAGAAACAATAATAAATTTGTTAAAATATATTTATAACTTTAACATCATACATATTAATCCGCAAAACTCACAGTATATATTGTAATATTGTATGATATTTAAAGGTAAGCAAACAAGAATTTGGAGCATAATTTTAATGGAATAAAATGGAAATAGAAATTACGAGACGAGATGGAAGGGGAACATATATTAAAAATCAAACTAAATACCCAACTGGTATGAGTTCGGGTTATGAGCACTATATAAAATAAATTTGTTTACACATAACCATGTACATACGTTTTCAGTTACACATACTCTATTTATGACAGATTTTGGACCGTAATATTTTTATTTTACGTGTACGTGACAGGTTATGGGACAAAGAATTTATGACAGATACCGGACATGATATGTTTCCTGTTCCAAAATAGTTATGCCTTGCTAATATACATGAAATAACCCAAACTAAAACCGAATTCATATCATATTTAACATATGTAATCAAACTGTTAGAACTGTTTTGATTAGTTAAGAAAATAAAAATGTAACACCATTTAACTTTTGCAACTAAATTAGTCCGGATCTTAAAATATAATTATGCATTAACGCAACTGAATTTTTTGTTCATTACTCTAACTTTATAATATTTATATTATTACGAAGTTCACTAATACAATAAAATATTTTATATTTTTAAAATCTATATAACAATTTCTATAAAAATATTTCTACACGTACGTGGATCCAGATCTAATACACTAAAATATATATCATAAAACAACAAAATAATCTATATTGAATTAAATTTTGTTAAAAAAAATTTTAAATATGAAACCCCGCACGTACGTGCGGGTCATGATCTAGTTATTTTCTAAATGAGATACGTTTAAGTTATTCACAATAAGGCTTTTTAGATAAAAGCACAAATATTAAGAAATTATTATTTAAGGGAGATTGACAAAAATAGCACTAAAATAAGTTTTTCTTCCAAAAATAGCACTACATTTGAAAAATTCCACAAATAGCACTATAAACTTTAATTAATTATTAAATATGAGTAATTAGTTTAATTAAAATAAATAAATAAATAAAATTGGAAATTTCCCGCCAAAATTTATTTTTCCCGCCAAAAAATTTCCGCGACGTAAAAATATTTTCCCGCCAAAATTTTTTTCCCGAAATTTTCCCGCCAAAATTTTTTTCAACATTTCACAGAAAAAAAAAATCCGTCAAAATTTTCCCGCCAAAAAAATCCACGAAATTTAGGAAGGATATCAAGAAATTCAGGAAAGATTCCTTGAATTTCAGGAAAAGATTCCTGAAAGGATTGCACGAAATTTAGGAAGAATTCAACGAAATTCAGGAAGGATTTTACGTAATTTAGGAAGGATTTCATGAATTCATGAATTTTAGGAAGGATTCCACGTAATTCAGGAAGGGTTTCACGATTCGTGAAAGCCTTCCTGAATTACGTGAAATCCTTCCTAAATTTCGTGGAATTCTTCCTGAATTTCTTGGAATTTTTGTTGGCGGGAAAAGTCGGACGGAATTTTTTTGGCGGGAAAATTTTGACGACATCTTTTTTTTCCGGGAGTGGAAAATATTTTGGCGGGAAATTTTGACGGAAATTTTTTTGGCGGGAAAATTTTGACGGGATTTTTTTTGGCGGGAAAATATTAAAGATGAATTTGTGATTTTTTGTATTTATTTATAATTATTTATTAATTTAAAAAATCAAAAATAAGGTGCTATTTTTGTCCATTAAACTTTTGAGTGCTATTCTTGTCATAAAAACTTGATTTGGGGCTATTTGAGACAATTTCTCATTATTTAATGCATAACAAAAATTAATTCAACTAATAAAAATAAATACTGCAGAATTTGACTGGTTAGAAACTATTTAATAAAAGTAATTTTGTCTAGAAAGTTGAGAAAATCAAATAATATGAAACAAATAAAAATTTGTAAAATATCTTATAAAAGGGAACAGATGGACTAGTAGTTATAAAAATGAATTTATGGAGGCCCAATTCATTATTAATGTAGCTCAACTGAAAAGGAAAACCCACATTCAGATTAAATGATAAAGGTTATCTTTCATTTTTATAAAAATATAGTTTTCCTTAGTTTGTTCCTTCGCCGATCTTTGAGTCATAAATCGACATGATAGAGTTAGATATTTAACAATGTTCAAAGAGGATTAAGCTGGAGTTAAGTCTAGATTTCTCTTGAAGTTGTTTTCATTTAACTCTTTGTTCGAACTCCTCTAAGAGTGACTATGTTGTTTAAATTTCCGATTCTTTTTATTTTTTTTTGCTAGATGGGTTTAAACGATTTCACAGTATTGACTTTTATATTATGTTCCTGAAAACCTAGAAATTTTAAGTTTTTATTTTATTTTGGGTCCATGTATGACAACATACAAATTTCCAAATTGTGGTTTTATTTAAAAAATTTGGGATTTGGTTGCTTCCTATTCGTTTAGTTCGCTTGGCTCTTTTGAGTTCTAGGTAATTGACTAAAAAATGTTTCTACGCTTAAGATTTAAGTTCGAGTTCTTTGGTTAGTATTTTATTTGCTGGTGAGCGAATGTGTTTATAATTTTAAAACTTGTAAGGAAATGTTATTCATTGATATTTCACTGTTCAGTAAGTGTTTTACTGAGTATTCATTGTCTTTCAGATTTATACATGCAGACCATGTTAAAGAGAACATTGGCTAAAATGCCTCTATATAAGGACACTAGTAAAGTTTATGCACGCATATTAGTGTTTCGAGCATTCTTTCTATCGAGCCATGAGGAGTTTAAGAAGATGGTAAAAACGGTAAATTTGCTTCCTTTTGTTTTCCTTCTTCATTTAGGTAATTAAAAGATAATTCTAAAGATTGATAATGGAAACGTATTCTCATAGAATGAGAAAATTATTGGTCATTTGAAGATTCTGGTTTTGGATGGGACTGGTAAAAAATTGTAATACCCAGTTTTTACTTCAAGAACAAGGCATGTCAAGATATAACTTATAACTCAAGTAATCCATATTTAATTGGAAATAAATAACATTTTCCTTTCAAATAAATAACTGTTCCAAATTATCCAATAAAATTATATTCATCACTGTTCTAATCTCCATTGATACCACCATGAAAGGTAACTGTAATTCTTTTCAAACAATATCGATATCTAATTATACTTGTAGAATTTGAGTTTATGCAAAATTTACAATAGATTTTGAAAGAAAATTTACTTCTTACTATATTTTCTCGATTTGAAAATTTTAGGGGTTTTAATTTGAGTTTGTGATTGTTTTAACAACGGAAAAATCAGCCCCCATTTTTGGTTTTCTTTCTGGCCCAACGTATCTTAGGACCGGCCATGTTCCTTACCCTTAAGGGCCTGGCCGATGGACAACGACTGCTCTGGTGAAAGTGGCTAACATTCGGTGACTCATGGTTGTCTGGTAAACACGGTTTTGACACCAGATTTTTACTTCAATAATAAGGTATGTCACGAGATAACTTATAACTCATGTAATCCATACTTAACCGAAAATAACTAACATTTTCTATTAATTCAACTTAAACGTCGTCAAATCCATAAAATGAATAAGTATTCTAAGTTATCCAATAAAATGTAACAAGAAAATGCAAACTCCGAAAACCAATACCAACTAACGAACTCCAGCCACTACTCCTCACCATTACCTGCAAGAGAAAGAGAAAGATGAGCAATCTAAGAATACACAGCAAAGAT